TTTTCTCCGCAGTTCCGGCTGTCTGCTTGCCAATCGTCTCCTTTCACTTCTCTCGTCCTAGTCACTCCGCCGTCTCCTCCGTCTCTGTCTCCCGTCTCTTGACCTCTCCTTCCTCAATCTTCCATCCTCTTCTTTGTTCTGCGCTAAAATGTTCACCACAAGACTTTTTTTTTGTCTCCCTCCTGATAATCCTCTGGTTGTTTTTAATTTGCTGACTCACAGCTCTTCCTGCTGGGTCGCCGCTTGCGTTGAGGATTCCCTCTCCAGCTGAGCTTCCTTCCAACACCAAAACTAACAGACAAGTAAATCTTTTAGATTTTTCTATTACTTTAGAGTATCTTCATAATTTTTTAACTCACTCAATGACACAGTCTATTAAGTATATCTTTGCTTCCGCATCCTCTGTGGTTTGTCACAGCCTCGGATCCACCATCTGACGATAGTAGATGTTTTCACGTTGAATTTAAGGGGTTTCCTTCGTCGTAGTGGGTGATTGCCTCTCACCTCACTACTCCCCAAGGCTTCACCCTTTTCGCGCGTAGCCCTCCAGGCTTTCTGCCCCCCCCGAAGGGTCTCCAAATGTGAAAAAAACAGAGTTAGAGGACGGAAATTGTTCTCTTTCCCCTGCACCACCTCAACATCACCACCGGAAGTCAGAATTTGCTCAGTATCTATTGGACAAAGTTGCTCATATTCACTCAGAGTTGGATAACTGTCTTGTTGCAGGTCTGGAGAAAGTACCTGGAAAAGGAGTCTTTCCCAGATATCTGGAATTAGTTAGAACCTGTTGGACCTGAGGAAGTGGACAAGGTTGTTAGGACTGAGATCAACCATCTGCTCTTTAGATCCATGCCCTTCCATATGGCTCGTGTGTGTGTGTGTGTCGGTTCTAGCAGTGGTGAACTCTTCCTTAAATGAGGTGGTTGTTCCTTTATTTCTTAAAGAGAGCTTGGTTCACTCCTCTTCAAGCCATCTCTGTACCGCACAATATTGGACAATGTTAGTCTAGTATCTAATCTCTTTCTGGGAAAGGTAGTTGAGAAAATGGCCATGCAGCAGCTTCAGAGGATCTTGGATGAAGTGGATTATCTAGATCCCTTTTAGTTAAAGTCTGAGCTGGGTATGGGACAGAAACTGGATCATCACACTTTTGGATGATCTCTGACAAGGGCAGGATGAAGGTTATGCATCCATCCTTGTCCTACTTGATCTACTATGTCATCATCTCACTCCTTCCTGGGAAACTGCAACTTCGCTGCAGTCCAGACCAGTTTTCAATACCATCAGACCATGGCATCCTTCTGGATTGCCTATGGGGATTGGGATTGAGTGGCACTGTATTGTGGGGGTTCACCTCTTTTCTCTAGGGTCAGTTCCAGTTGGTGATCATTGGGGAGGAAATCCCTTACTCAGCCTCTACTATGTGAGGTGCCCCGGAATTCATTGCTCTCTCCATTTCTATTCAACACCTATGTGAGGCTCCTGGATGCGATCATCTGTCACCATGGGGTAAGATATTGTCAGCCTTTCCAGGTAGACCAGACAGGAAATGGACCAGATGAACTGATTCTACATCACCTTATTATAAGGCTATATTAGCAGAATCTTGAAAGACTGAAAGTACAAATCTCTTTTTACAGCCTGATAAACTAGGGCAAATCCTTTTTTAGTTTGTCTGTTAATCTGTTGTGGGATCTCTGCCCCCCAACAATATTATCTGATTATTCCCTAGGCAGCATCTCTTCTCATGTTTCATAGTCATTCCTACATATTATTACAATTATTCCTAAATATTCATTCCTCATACATTTCTGTCCCAGGTTAATTAAGTGATGCTGTGGACATCTTATCCCAGTGTCTGGACATTCTGAGCCTTTAAATGGAATAACAAACTCCAGGTGAACCCAGGTCCACTGATGGAGAAGATGGCAAGGAAGTGACACCAGGGAGAAAGCAGAGTTGCTTAATTATTTCTTTGTATCTGTCTTCATACAAAAAGAAAAAATAGCCCAACCTAACAAAAATGTAACTGTAAAAGACAGACTAGAAATTCAAATTCAAATAGGCAAGAAAATAGTAAGAGCACACCTGACCACTCTAGACAAGTTTAAATCACTAGGACCTGATGGATTACATCTCAGAGTAGGGAAGGAGCTGGCAGAAGTGATCTCAGAATCATTGAACCATATCTTTAAAAGGTCCTGGAGCACTGGTGAACCACCAGAGGACTGGAAAAGAGCTGATGTTCCCATCTTCAAAAAGAGGGAGAAAAATATCCAGAAAACTACAGACCAATCAGTCTTACACAGGGCCTTTTTTCTCATAGAACACCCAGAACACAGTTCCGACACCTTTTTTGGATGGAATCTTGTAGGGTAGGCAAGGCGGATTATATGACGTGTGAGTTCCAGCACCTTTTTTTTTTTTTAGAAAAAAAGCACTGGTCTTACATCTAAGATCCTGGAAAAGATAATCAAGCAACAGATCTGCAAGCACCTAGATGCAAACAATCAGAAGCCAACGCGGGTTTATCAAAAACAGATCATGCTAAACAAATTTTATTTCATTCTTTGACAAAGTGACTAAATTGGTCCACTAGTGAAATGCTGGATTACCAAATAGTATACTTGGATTTCAGTAAGGAAATTGACAAAGTAGACCACAATCTACTTGATAAACTAGAAAAATGTGGGATAGACAACATCACCACCAGATGGATTTGTAATTGGCTGACAAACAGCACTCAATGTGTAGTCCTTAATGAAACTACATCTATATGGAGGAAAGTAAGCAGTGGAATATCTCAAGGTTCTGTTTTAGGCCAAGGACTCTTCAATATCTTCATAATATCTTCATAAACAATTTAGATGAAGGAATAGAAGAGGAACTCATCAAATCTGCAAAGACACAAAGCTGACAGGAATAGCCCACACCCCAGCAGATAGGCTCAAGATCCAGAAGGATCTCGACAAACTTGAACACTGAGCCCTATCTAACAAAATGAAATTCAGTGGTGAGAAAAATAAGGTTCTACACCTAAGCAAGAAAAACCAAATGTAGGTTGAAGACTAAAATATATGAAGAACGGTTGCAGGAATAGCCTAGTGAAAAAAAGGAGTAGGGGCAATATGATAGTGTTCCTCTGTATTTGAGGAGCTGCCACGAAGAAGAGGTCAACTTATTTTCCAAAGCACCAGAAGGCAAGGCAAGGAAGACGACCCAGGAAACTATATGTGTCACTTTGACTCCTATAATGGACAAGGTTTTCAAACAGATTACAGTATCAATACTTTTGTGAGCACTTGTGGGCATGCTAACAGGAGTTGGAATGGATTTATCACAAATAATTCCAGACTAGCCTTATTTCCTTCCTTATCTTGTTAACTTGGTCAATCAGGAATATATAAGATACGGTGTATCTGGATTCCAGTAAAATAAAAACTTTGACAGATTATATTTTCTTAATAGTTAAGTGGGTTTAATAATATATTGCTAGATAGACTCGCAGTAGGCAAAATTAGTCCTAATAGATGGATCTACTTCAGCTTGGAGAAGTGAATGGAGTGCCAGGAAGCTTAGTCCCAAGTCCTGATATTTTAATGTTTTTTATCAATGACTTGTGCGAGGAGTGGTGAGTACTCATAAAGCTTGCAGAGAGCACAAAATTGGGGTAGTGGTGGTATAAGTAAGTAAATAAATAAGAGAAGATTTAAAAATATATAAACAGACTTGAGCAGTAAGCTGACATGAATAAATGGAATTTATTCAAGAAGAAATTTAAAGGATGGGTGGTATTAGCTTGGCAGTATATGTAAAAATAATCTGTACTCAGGTCAGATCCAAGTGAAACGTAAGCCAACTGCAGCTGCTGAAAAGGTAAACACTATTCTGCAGTACAGGAACAAGGGCATGGTGCTCAGATCATGAGAAGTAGTTTGAAGTACTGTATTTAGTTTTGGGCACCACTACTCAAACATGATAGTGATAAACTGCAGCAAATACTGGGGCTATTGATGGATGAAGGCTCCACAAGCCAAGGCCTATAAGAATGTTAAAGTATCTGGTTATATCTTGCCTTACAGAAATTATAGCTGTGAGGACATGGTATTACAACAGTCTTCCAATACTGGAAGATTTGTCACTGCCCTAATGGGCCCTAACTCTTGACTGAGTTGCAGGCAGTGGAAGAGACTGTTACACAATTTGGTGAATTTTTTGCAGTAGTGCTTGAGACAAAGGCTGGAAAATTATCAGATATGCTCAAGTAGATATGCTTCTAGCATTAAGCAGGACACTTGGAAATCTTGTTGGACAGAGTATTTTCCAAGTTATACAATTTTGTCTCAATAGGTAGGATATATTTTTTAAATGCACAACGTTGCGTATTTTATGAAAGAGCATTATCAAGAATAGCTTAAAAACCATATTTGCCTTCAAAAAAGAAAAAAGAAACTACCCCTTTTCTCCATTGCTGGGGGGAGGGGGGGAAGAGTACTGTATCAGAGATAGACACAAAAACACCCCCAAGAGTAGCCTTTCCAGCTCCTCTCCGGGCAACGGCCCGTCATGCTATCTCCGAAGGAGGTCATACAACAGTGGCGGCTGGATAACACTATTTATTGTCTTTTGCTTTCGACTCTTGGCTACTCTCCATGCTGCCCTCTTTCAACTCTGATCTTTGAGTGAATAATAAAACCCGGAATTCGTGAGCCTTGGTTAATCCACCTTCAGGCAGTTTCAGAAATAGAACCCACAAGACGAAAAACTTGCGCTTCCGCCAGCACAAATGAGTTTGTTTTAAATATTTTTGCTACGCATGTTCCTTCGCCTTGCGAGAGAGTCTGGTGCAAGCTCCCCCTCACGGCAACAGCACGGTCTCCCGCCGACCAACAAGTCCCTAGAGGAAGAAGGAAAACGAAAACCATTCCTTCGTTCTTCCTCTGCCCTCCCCAAAATGACCCAATCAGAACTCCCTCCCTTTCCACGTGCCCTTTGTGGTAGCTAAAGATCCTTCTTCGAAGAAGAACGAAAGGGACGGTTGGTGGGCTTGTTTGCTACGGGCTCGTGTCTTGCCACCTCCCTTAGTGGAGGCTTTTTACGAGGTTGAATTGGTTGCACTTGGTCCTGCCCATCTTTCTGTGGAATAATTCGTTCGTCAAAGATTCCTGTTGCTTAAAATAAAGTCCCTTGGCGTCGACAGGCTTCATTCCTTTACTGGAGCCATGGCTTTGGGAATGGTCTCCCGATTGAAGCATTGCTTGTGGATTGGTCTTGGTGAGTGCCGCTTCGTGCCAGTATATAATATGGCTATTTAGAGGCGAGAACAGAGTGTATATTTACGTGTGTATATGTACGTATGTATATATATGTGTGTGTGTGTGTGTGTATGTATATGCATATACATATACTCTGTAATTATTTTGTGTCCGTGTATTGCTGTATTGCTGTCAATCTGCCTTTTGATGATGATAGCTATGATGGTACAGGTGATGATGATTAATGGCAGTACAAAACAATTTATCAGATTCCCACAAAATAACTTTTGCTTTGAATCAACAAACTTATTTTTCTAACAATATCAACTTTCAGCTGCAATGGAATTGTATAATGCCTTCTGCATTTATAAATACAATTTGCACAAATTACTTTTGAGTTTGTATTCTGTTTCTGTTTTATCAGGTTATGTTTTGCCACTCAGTCTAACTATGAAATGCTTTGAGGTCAATGAGAATTCAATTCTATCTTTCATTCTACAGATGTGTTGCATTTCAACTCACTCTCTTGCATATTGAAGCATAAAGTGCTGGTCATTCTACTATATTCTCCTCTAAATAATATAGTGATGAGGATTGGACTAAAGTTGAATTTTCCATCCTTCTGATTAGCCAAGCTAGGGCTACATAATCAGAATGAGCAAATGGATACTGACCTGAGCCACAAGGAAGGCTGTTCCTCTTTCAGGGAATCATCCACCACAATGGCACATTGTTAGACTAAAGTTGTAATTACTTAAATCCTTCCCCCCCTTTTTTTGAGGTTAAGAACAAATTTGCTGTCTACAGGGGTTTTTTTTGAGGTGGGGGGGGTGTCTTCAAATCAATGCTGACTCCTGGTGACTGCCTGCAGTTTTCCTGACAAGATTTTGGAAGTGGTTTGCCCTTCCCTGCTTCTTAGGGTTGAGAGAGAATGAGAATGACTGGCCCTAGTCACCCAGCTAGCTTTTGTGCCTAAGACAGGACTAAAATGATCTCCTGATTGCTATCCTGGCACCTTAACCCAGAGTTCCCAAACATTCTGGCTTCGTGGATGGGGAGGGGGAAGGGGGGAAGGGGATGGTTTCACATGAGCAGCTGGCAAGCATGCATGGGTGTGCACAGCTCCATTTGCACAAGTGGTGTGCACGCGCATCTGCCACTCATACAAATGGAGTGCATGTGCATTCACTCACCTGTTGCAAGTGGGGATGCTTGTGCACGTACTCACCTGCCGTTTCCATGGCCCGTTTGCAAACTAGTGGGCTGCGGCCCAGAGGTTGGGGACTCCTGCCTTAACCAACTACAGGTAATCTTCAATTTATGAGTGAGCATTTAACCATTCAGAGTTATAATGGGCTTGAAAAAAGTTATAGTGGATAAAGAAAGTCTACACAGTCTGTTAAAATGTCAGAGTTTTGAGATGTAAAAAAATCAGACCAAGATAAATCACTTCAGAATTCTTTTCACCTTTAATATATCATATAAGTTGTACAATTCAACTGAAAAACAAACTGTCATGTCAAGAACAGCTGCTCCTTATGAGCCTTCCTTTACCCTCAGAAAATTTCCTGGAAGGACTGCTTGGTGGAGTTATGTCTCAACAGATGCCAAAGTTATTACAGTCTTCCATTTTTCTTACTCAAATTTATGGCTTTGTGTATGTAGGACAGATACTATTTTCTGGTAGAAATATTTCATAGTATTAATGCCTTTCTGGAGTTTAGCACTAGATCTCAGAATGGATTTTGGATCCTAAAATGGGTCCTATATTGGCAGAAAAAGTAAACATTCATAAAATCATAATCCTATAATCAAGGAAATCAAAATTATCCAAATGAAAAAATAAAAACATGTAAAAAAGATAAAGCCATGTGTGAAAAGCTAAGTACACCTTATGATTAAATAGCTTGTTTTAGCAGCAGTAACATGAAATAATCATTTTCTGTACGCCTTTATCAGTCTCGTACGTTGTGGAGGAATTTTGGCCCACTCTTCTTTACAATATTGTTTCAGTTCATTGAGGTTTGTGGGCATTTGTTTATGCAGTTCTCTTGAAGTCCCGTCACAGCACAGCATTAAACTAGGATGACGTCTGTACTTTGACTTTGCAACTCCTTGATTCTTTTCTTTTTCATCCATTCTGTTTTAGATTTGCTAGTGTGTGTGGGGGATCATTGTCCTGCTGCATGATCCAATGTTGGTTAAGCTTTAGCTGTCAGACAGGTGGCCTCATATTTGTCTCTAGAATACTTTGGTATTCAGAGGAGTTCATGGTTGATTGAGAGGAGTTCATGGTTGATTGAGTGACTGCAAGGTGCCCAGGTCCTGTGGCTGCATAACAAGGCCAACTCATCACCCCCTCCATCATTGTGCTTGACAGTTGGTGTGAGATGTTTGTGCTGATATGTTGTGCTTGGTTTTTGCCAAACATAGCACTGTGCATTATAGCCAGACATCTCCACCTTCATCTTGTCTGTCCAAAGGACAGTGTTCCAGAAGTCTTCATTTGTTCAGCTGCAACTTTGCAAACCTGATCTGTGCTGCCATGTTCTTTTTACAAAGAAGAGGCTTTTTCCTGGCAACCCTTCCAAAAAAACATACTTTAGGTTTTTTTTTCTAATTGTAGTGCCATGACCTTTAACATTTAACATGCTAACTGAAGCTTGTAGAGTTTGAGATGTAACTTTTGCAACTTTTGCACGATCTGACCTTGGGGTGAATTTGCTAGGTCGTCCAGTCCTGGGAAGATTGGCAACTGTCTTGAATGTTTTCTACTTGTGAATAATCTTCCTCACTGTAGAATGATGGACTTCAAATTGTTTGAAAATGGCCTTATAAGCCTTCTCAGATTGATGGGCAGCAACAATTGCTTTTCTAAGATCATTGCTGATGTCTTTCCTCTTTGACATTGTGTTAACACACACCTCAGTGCTGGAGACCATCAAGTACCTAAAACTTCACCTTTTATAGAAGTAGTCACATTTGCTGATAATCAGTTGATCAAGGACACCTGATTAGCAGGACCTGGTTGCTACTTAGCTTCTTCATACTTATGGAAGTACTAAGGTTTTAGCTTTTCACACATGGCTTCTCCATTTTGGCTTTCTTTTTGTAAAATAAATGATGACATGGTGTAATATGTCATGTATTGTTGTTCATCTGAAGTTGTATTTACCTACTCTTAAGAGCTGCTAAGGACCAGATGATTATTATATCATCATACATAAAACCATAGAACTCAAAGGGGGTGTACATTCTTTTTCACATGACTGTATGTGTTTGTATTCTTTGACTGTGTCAGGCTACTCACAACTTAAACCTTTAAATAGAAAAGATCCTTGTCTCCATTTGTTGAGAAAGGTATAATTTTATTAGACATCAGGTGAATTGCAGTATTGCATAGCCAGAACTGAGAACTGCATACCAAAATCCCTCAGTTCTACTTTCCTCCCCTTAACTGTCCCTCGCAGCCCACCCCACTGTAACCAATCAAGTCCATGCAAGATGTTTTCATAATGGTCAGTCCAGGCGCAGCTTGGTATGCTGCTTCCTCCTTCTTGCAGCTAGATGACCTTGGGGCAGGGTCTCGAGGAGGTGCAGTCTCTTCTTTTGATTCACTAAGCATTCCTCTTCATCCCCTCTTCCCACAGTTCATGGCAGTCTGTCACTACATAACAGCGAACCACAGCAAGCATAAGGTGATAGCTGACATTCTGCCCCCCTTGAAATAAGGCGTTAGGCCTGGAAATGAAAAGCGAAGGAGAAAGATTAAGTGTGGTTTATCAGGATACTGGGCATGGAAGTTACATAAAAGCTTTGGTGCTTGCAAATATTAGGCAGCCACCCATTCAGCTTCAGAGGAGGGGAAATGCTTCCATGAGATAAGATATTGGAGTGCGCCCCTATTGGAAATGCAAATCCAAAATGACTTGTACTTAGAAATGTTGCTCACCTTCAATGAGATTGGGAAGAGGAGTGGCTTCTGCAGGTGTTCATAAGGGGGAGGTTTTGGCTTGTTTAAGAAAGACTGCAGTGGAAAACAGGATGTATCCTCCTAAGTTTCTTTGGTAACTTAAATTCAACAATCACTGGGTTAATCATTCTTACAATAGGAAAAAGGCCTACAAATTTGGATCCAAACTTTTTTGAAGGTTGCCTAGACTTTAGATCAGCAGCTCCCAACCTTTTCTATAGCCCACACCCCTAGAATGCTTCTGATATATTCTCGCATCCCTTATAAAAGTTCAAAATAATGAATTATGCATATATAGTATAATTTTGAAACTTCTAAACTCAAGTTTTTGCACCCCCTGGAATATCGTCTCACACCCCCAATTGGGAACCCCTGCTTTAGATACTTGGTGGATAAATAAACTTCATTCCCTACTTCGAACTTCTTCCCTGGGGCCCTGTTTTTTCAGCATATTTCTTATCCGCTTCATTAGCCTCATCCAGTGCCTGGCAAATTACTGTCCAAGTAGTTTGCAATTGCTTCAGCCATTCTGTCAGGGAGAGGCTCTTAGGTGGCTCCACTGGAAGTTCAGGCATGGCTACAAAGTTTCTACCAGTTGCAACTTGGAAAGGGGCAAAGCTAGTGCTGCTATATACTGCATTGTTATACCATAGCAGTTTAGCCAATTATCTTGTTGATAATTGACATAACATCTTAGGTACTGTTTTGATACACTGTTGATATATTCACAGGCCCTGTTAGTCTTAGGATGATGTGAGGAGCTAAGTCCTTGGGTGGTCTCTAGTAATTTAAAAAACTCTTGCCAGAATTGGAAGGTGAATTGCACCCCTTGGTCGAAGATAATCCTCTTGGGAGTCCCATGCAAATGATAAATATGTTGTAGAAACAGTTTTGTCATGGTTCGTGCAGAGGGAATTTTTGGGCATGCCACAATTGCATGTTTTGAAAAGAGATTGGTGATGGCCCAAACTACAATGTTCCCAGAGCACTCAGGCAATTCAAAAATAAAATACATAGAAATTTTTTTCCAGAGTGCTGAGAGGTTA